ACTGAGCCGTTGAATAGTAACAAGATCGAATTGGAGCAGTTTGCTGAATGATGCCATCATATTTGTTTTTCGGTTTTATTTTATTCGTTTCATCATCGCAAATAAATAACAGAATATCTGAGGAGTTTACTTTATCGGAGTACATTTCCCAAACTGGTATCATTTGCCGCTTTAGCAGAGCATGAGACAGCTTCTACTCGCGGTCTTTGATGTCTTAACCCAATAAGGACGCTAATACTCTCCTTACATCTCCAGAAACGTCGCGAAGGAGGCAAGCGAGGAAGCCTAGAAAGGACCTTAAAAAAGAAAAAAAGCAGGAAGCTCCAATCCGCCATTCATTTTCAGAAATTGGTCTCGGGGAGGCGACGTGACAAGAAGAGAAACCGTCAGATCGCGCGGGAGGTGACTGCGAATCCCGGTGATGTTTCAGTCTCAGTCTACAGAAGGTTCCCTGAGTCGGAAACCTCTCCAGTAACTCATCTGTCGTAGTTTCAATTTCGAGGGTGGTAGCGTGGGAGCCTCCTGTATTACGGAGCGGGAAATTCTATGCTGATAAGGAGCGTGAATCACGCTGTCGTGCACTCGAGTACAACGTCATTAATCTTGTGTTAATGCTCTAGGGAAGAACTCTTGACTGAAAGCGATAGAAAGATTATACGTATCTTTCACTATACATGCGATGCGCCACTCCTAACAAGTTATCTGACATTTGCAACTGGAAGGCAGAGAGAAGACAAGGCCGCCGGGAAAGCCCCCCCCCCCCCGAGCGACGCCCGAGGACCCATGAGATCGAATCAGGCAGAAGCGCAGGCCTGGGATTTGGGGGTATGGTTGGTGGGGGGGGGGGCAGGATCAACGGGAGGCGAGACACTGTCGACACTCTGAGTATTCGGGGTCAATTTTAGAAAAAAGGGGGTATCAATGAGAATAAATATCTTCTCAAATGCATATGTATATTATCGCATGTCGGGAATTTAAGTCTAATGTCGAATATCTTCATCCACACTAATTTTAACATTGCTACAGGAAGTAATACATCCTATCTACATTATTTAAACCATAACAAGGAAAATTAGTAGAATGATGATACCTTGTTTGACGATCGTAATAATTACGAACTATATGCATTTCGTAAACATTTACACAAGCAGATTTTTCACATTAAAGCAAAGCTATCACAGTAAGGTACCCGCACGAGCCAAGGACGTTTCCAAACACTGCCAATAGAGGGCACAGCGCTCATCCGTCATCCGTCTGCTTCGTCCTCCCTTCTCCTTTACTCTGGCGGATGAATGTTGCGCCGTCTGTGACCTTTGCTTGGAAACATATGGCCGACAGGGGCATTCGGCGAACTTTGGTTGTGAATGAACACGTGACACGTAATATCTGCATTGCATTTTGGCTCGAAGATTTTAACTTATTAAGTCGTTATCATTAGGGAAGTGTTATTCAGATGGACTATATTGCGCCCTCCCTTTTCTATGCTCCTTAGCAAAGACCTTATTACTACTCTTTGCTCTGGGAACCACTCAGACTTTATCCAGAGGGGCACTATCTGTTAATACAAGTGTGTGGTTTCTCCAAAAGTACTCTTTAGAACCCACACTAAAATATATATATTCATACAGGTTACTTATGATCTAATTTCAGCCTTAGAGGTAACTGAGAGAAGGGGATAATATCAAACCACTTAATAAGTTTACATTTGTTGATATATTGAGTTAAATATCATTACACATCTACAGTAAAATAAACTTTCATCTACAAAAATAAATGTCCCAAATGGTTGTATTCCAACCTGTCACTTTTATTCTTCTGGTTCTTCTCAGGTGTCTTCTTTCCTTGTCTTCATCAATGTCCTGGGCTCTTTCATTCTTGTTCACAGCCCCAGGGACGCATAAATCACAACTTCAGAAGGACCAAACAAACCATAAAAAAAATAAAACAAAAACACACACAAAAAAAAACAAAAAAAAACCCACTCCTAGAAAAGAAAAAAATTTCTAGTTTAGGAATGATAAACAATATAAAGTTATTAAATGTAAGTAAATCAGTTCTTGTAAGATGAAAAACAATATTTCTTACAAACAAACAAATTATATATAATATTTATGTTATTATATACGATCTGAGTAATATATTATCGTAATATTTGATTAAATATCATTATAATATTATACAATTATGAATGCCAAGAACCAAGAACACTTACTCTTTGAATGGGTTTTAAATTCTTATAAACAAGAGAGACACATCGGATGTTATTCAAGAGCCATGTGCCATGTGCCAGCCTCGAGCTGTGAAGAAGATATACTCTTTATCTCTAATTTACAGTTTAATCTCAAATAGTTACTTTCTTTTCTTCTGTAAATCAATTGTATAGTAGTTCATGACTTTATTAATTATATTATTATAGTGGAATGTTCTTTCTTACCACAGATATTTCACGATAATCAAATACTCTTTCAGGCTGCTGTATGGCACTCCTCTCTGATCTCGATCTCTCTCTCTATGATTATAGCTATGTTTTCAGGATTTAGCAGTGTATATACTTTGAATTTTAAAGTCTACTCAGATCACATATATTACCCTTATACAGTTCTTCGAAATCTATACATGCATAATTTTCAGAACTTAAATGAATCCTTCCATTAACAAAAATAATATATATGGTTTTCTTTACAAAAATATCAATTATACAACCTTAATATAATAATACTATTGAAATATAATAGCGTACCCTTTTAATAAAGAGAATGTATGGTGGGGGTAACAAAAAAGCTTATACTTTGTAGGGTAGACTATCATATTTTACAATTTTCTTATCTTAGAAAAATATAATATTGAAATATATAGAATTTCATGTAAAACTATTAAAATAAAATATTATCTTTCTAGAAAAATAATAAAGTACCTTTTTCTCACATGGTTAAAGCTAAAAACTGAGGTATACTTAAATAATACATATGCATAAAGACTAAGTGAGGTGTATACAGGGGGGTTTCCAGACGAATTTTGGGTCATTCTAAATTCACATCCCTTGTGCTCGTTACACACCTTTGGGGTTAGGGGAGACCAAAATTCGTCGTACAAAATAATATAGGAACAAATTCATCACAATCAAGTATACTACCCTTATCATAAATCACATTTCAAATTATCCGTCAATACCAATATAACACCACAAATGTCTTGTCCACTCCTTTTCTGCTGTATTCAGAAATGTTACACATTCTGGTGCTCGAGGAGGTTAGACATATCACTAGATTGTATACACCCGTTCCTTATAAATTTTGTATCGTTATGTCATACAATACTAGGTCACTCTACCAAAATACAGCCAGAGAATCTGAACTTTATACATTGACAGGCCCTAACTGTTGCAAGAAATCACATCAACTTCCCCAGCCCTATAGAGAATCAGAGGATGTACTAACTGTTTCCGACCTTGCACTTCTTGCATCATTGAAATATTAAATACCCTAGCTTAGTGCTCAACTGGGTCCACATTTAGCCATGCACAACTGATTGGGGACCTTCAGGTAGATATTTATTCTTACAACTCCTTAACCTAAATCCCTAGCAATTTGTTTTCCAGAAGTCAAATAAATCTAAATATATAGTATAATATACAAGTCAATAATATAAGTCAGAATAACATTCATAAGAATGTCCTCGATCTACTATATCCAGGTGTCCTCACGACCCATTCATAAGGAACAACAATCATTCTCAATCCTAACAGTTACTCTACTAACTCTAAGCTAGGATTCATCAAATTCACGTCCTATCCTGGCCAAGGCATAGGCTTCATCAAAATCTTCATATTAAACCTCATAACAGGGTAGTACAACTAAAACTCAATTCTTCAGCTTAATCTTAAAGCACCAATATTAGCACCACATAAATCATTAAAAATTAATACCTCCTAACTTGTCTTTAAGCATTCCTGTAGATTCGATAGCTATTGTATCAATTACATCTACTACCATATTATACGACATAATCCTCAAATCTCTTGGGGGGTCGTCTAACTCTTACATCTGTAAGTATCCCTTGCTCTTCGTCTGCATTAAGATACTTCTCTTCAATTTTCTCTAGTATCTCTTCCCTATCAATAAAAACTTTCAACTTTTCTGCGGCTCTAATTAATGTATTTCCATCAAATACATTCTCTAGTTTATATGCACGTCCTCCGTCAACCACGTCAATAACCTTAAATGGTCCCTTCCATTTCCTATTTAATTTAGCAGCAGTATTAGGGATTGGTTCCTCAATATAGACCCATGCTAAATCTCCAACTTCTAATGGTTTGTTCTTTCTACCCACATTTGCCTTTTGTAAATATTTCTGGGTAGTACGTTTCAAAGTTTCTTTCAGCAAGTTCTTTACGTCTAATTTATCTTCCTCATCCACCTCATCAGCTGGTAGCATTAGTTGTCCTACTTCTCTGTTAGGATGTCTTCCATAAAATGCAAAATAAGGTGAAGTACCTAAGGAAGTGTGCACAGCTTCATTCAGTGCTTTCTCAGTTTCTGAAATGTGACTGGGCCATGTATTTGGATGTTCTTGACTTAGAATGGCAAGTACGGTCTGAAGAGTTCTATGGGCTCTTTCTATCACTGAATTACCCCGAGGACGGTATGGTATAGAAAATCCTTGTTTTATTCCTGCTTTCTTGCAGAACTCTCTAAATTCTGATCCTGTAAACTCTCCTCCATTATCTGAAATCACTAATCGAGGAGTTCCGAACCTACAGATATCTTTCTTGAATTCTGCAGCAACTGCTGTTGTACTTTTGTTTCTTAAAGGGTAAATTCTCAAGAATCTAGAAAAATGGTCAATGACAGTAAGACAATACCTAAATCCTGCCCTACCTCCATGTTAATCAATTAGATCAATGGATACTCTCTGACCATTATCTTCAATTGGTGGTAAATCTCTCCACTGATGTATTATGGACCCATGTCCTTTAAATTGTTGACATGATTTACATGATTTTACATAGTTCTTCACATCTTTCAACAAGGTAGGCCAATAGAAGTCTTATGTTCTCCTAAATGTGAATCATTATGGGCTATAGAGCAAGCAACTGGTATTAAAGTCCTGGGGACAACAAGGCAAGATCTGATTTTACCCATTTCTTCTCTTTTTAGATACAGAATGTGGTCTCTAATTTCAAAGTGATAAAACGGTCTGTTACCTGGAATTCGCTTTGGTATGGTACTTCCTTCTAGAAACTCTATCAATTTAGTCCACACTTTATCATCTCTTTGAGCTTGTTTGATTTCGTCCACTGTCAGTCCCAAGAACCTAATATCATTACTTGGTTGTAAGACTTCCTCACTCCTATTGGTGATTGCTCCTATGGGTCTACTAAGAGTGCCTGGTACAGTATGTTTCGTGCCTTTCTTATACTTAATTTTATAAATGTAATCCCTCATTTCTAAAATATATCTAGACATTCTGGGACAAGCTGTTCTCTTCTTAAACACAGTGGTTAATGGTTGATGATCTGTAACAATGGTGAAAGGCTTACACCAAAGATAATGGTTGAAAAATCTACAGGCATTAATGATAGCCAATGCTTCCTTATCTGCGACTGAGTATTTTTTTTCTGTTGAATTTAACTTCTTAGAATAGTATCCTATAGGTCTTAGATCATCATGTTCTTTCTGCATTAATACTCCACCGATATGGGTATCACTAGCATCTGTGTGTAGTTCAAATTCTTTAGTTTGGTCAGCTTTGACTAAGACAGGAGCACTTACTAATTTCTCTTTCAGTGTTACGAAGGCATTATTACAGGCATCATTCCACTCAAATTTTACATCTTTCCTTGTCAAATTAGTTAAAGGTTCAGCTATTAATGCAAAATTTGGTATATGCTTCCGATAAAAATTACACATGCCAATGAATCTTCTTACTTGTTTGACACTTTGGGGAGGAGGCATCTTATTAATTGCTTCTAGGTTCTTTTTGTTTGGTTTGATTCCTTTTTCTGATATAATATGTCCCAAGAACTTAACTTCTTTCTTGCCAAAATCACATTTGGATAGATTTACTTTCATTCCCATCAGCTCTAACCTTTGAAATGTTTCTCGTAATCTTTCTAGCATTTGTTGATAAGAGTCTGCCCAGAGAACTACATCATCTAAATAATTCCTGCACCAACCCTTCTTAATTAAGGGGCTTAATACTTCCTGCATTTTCCTAGTAAATATAGCAGGGCTAATTGATAGTCCAAAAGGCAAACGCTTAAATCTATATAAACTTAAGCCATCTGAAAAAGAAGTTAAATCTTTAGAGGCTTCATCTAGGGCTACTTGAAAATAAGCATCTTTCATGTCTAAGGTGCAGTACAATTTCCTTCCAGCACTTTCTTCTACTAGTTCTGATAATCTAGGAAGAGGCTGTACATCCATTTTCATTTTCTTATTAATTGCCCTGAAGTCAATACACATACGTTTTGACCCATCAGGTTTACCAACCAGTACTATTAGTGATAGATATGCAGCAGTGGATTCTTCAATAACTCCTCTCTCTATCATATTTTGAATCATCTCTGCAATTATCTTCTTTGACTGTTCAGGGTACCTATACAGTGGCATTCGGACTGGCTCATTATCTACTGTAGGAATATGGGCTTCAGCTACTTTTAATCGACCTAATTCCGTCTCATCAAGTATGAACAAATTGTTGTCCAGAATTACCTCTGTTAATAATTCCTGTTGGTCTTTAGTAAGGTGTTTCCAGTCCATTTTCTCTATAAGTGCTCTTAAACAAGTTCTCCGATCACCACTAATCTGGACCTTATCACTATGAGGAACTAAACTGTTGTCAATTTCGCCAACATTTCCTACTATTAATTTCTCCAAAGACCTACAGCATACTCTACAGTCTCTCATTGAGGTTTTCAATACTTTTTCAATTTGCTCTTGTGGAAAAAGATGAAAATGAGGGCCACATAGCATAATTTTATCTTCCTTCTTTGATTCTTCTAAAAGTGTTCTTGCAAGTTCTACTTTGTTACCCATCTCTAAACCATTTAAGTCTAAGTATATAATTTGTTCTTCCTCTATAATTGTATATTCTCCAATCTTGGTACCTGGAGTGAACTTAATGGGTTTCTTTCCTATATGAATAATTGGCATGTCAAAGCCCTTTTGTTCATCTATTACATAACAACCATTATTCAAGATAGGCCTATTTAATTTTGACATTTTTCCATTCTTCACCTTTTCAAAACAAATTATCTGTCCTACTTGGAAATCTTTATGGGTTATTCTCAGATGTGTAACTTTTCCTGGAGGACACAAGGTCTTTATGTTAACATGTAAGCATTTTTCTGAACCAAATTTAGGATTTTCATTTCTAATTCACAAGTTGCTTCCTTACATTTTACCCTATTGATTGATCGGCCAACTGTCTTGTAAATTTTATACTGCTGTTCTCCCCAATATAAATCTTGAGTTCTCCCGTTCCATGTAAATTTTGCCT